CTCCATCATGGGATTTAGTTTTGTGAAATTTCATCTAACATTTAGGTGCATGCATATGTATTTTTACATAATTAAAATTCAGATGCAGGTTCAAATATATATTTTACTTATTATTAATATAAACCTTTTTTTGCTGCGGTGCTACAAAGTCTTAATAATATTTCATGGTAGTCTCATAGTCCATCAAGTTGATAGGTCATAATTTATAATAACGATTCCTTTCCTGTTGGACATGTAGATTGTTTCCAAAATTTCCTCTGCCGTAGAAGACAATGTAATAAACTTCTTCATGAAGATAGATTTTTTTTTATTGCCTAAAGTATTGTTTTCTTAAGTTAAATTTTTCAAGAGTAGATTTAGAGGGTCAAGGCCAATTTTACTGTTTATGCGATTTATCTTCATAGGTTTGCTTCCTTGATAGATAGTGAATGATTGTTCTTCTTTTTATATATTGTTAATTTTTCAGAGTCTAATCAGCACTGAGGAGTTCACATAGTACTAAGTTGACTGACCAAATTTGATGATTGTATTGGTAACGGTCCCAGCAGGACACAGATTCACCCCATTGGTTCAAATGAAGAGGAATTGATAAAGGACTAAGCCCACAGAAGGGCATGCTGGTTACAGAACAAACAAGGAACTACAACAGTGGAAAGCCATATCTGGCCCTGGAACGAATGGACAAGAAAGGGATATGGAGTTTCATGAGTCCTCATGGCCAGCCCTGGGCTGAAGGGACAATGGGAGGAAGTGATGTTCCAGGAGCCCGTAGAGCCACAGCCTTGGTGGAAGCAGAGCCTGCTGGTCTGGGGCTGTAGAGTGATGTAGCTTTCACCAGAGCCATGGGACTACGACACGCGGGGCAGTGGGAGGGAACGCCTCAACCTCCCCCTCTCCAGTCTCCTGCAGTGCCTCCCATTGGTGGAACCCAACCGAGGTCACTTGGCACAGGAACCTGGGTGATGCTGCCTTCAGGGGTCACCCTCCTGGAACACAGAGCAGGGCAGACAATGGATCTGGGGCTGGTGGAGGTGAAGGGGCAAATGGAAAAAACCAAACAAACAGATCAAAGTAGCACGATAATGATGGGAAGTTTGTGTCAATAGCAGTACAGGGCCCATTTTGCAGAATCTCAATTTTGGATCATATTTCACATCTCTCTGGACTGTAGTCTCTCAGGCCTTAAATATTGCATTTCCTTTATTATGAAAATCAGGCCACAGCGAGAGAGCTGGGGACTCCTGAAAGTGCACTCAGCACTGACTTGAAAACAAGTCCCAAGTCTGTGGGCTCTGTTTGCTCCTTGGCAGTCTCTGTAGTCATCTCATGTCAGCTCTGATTTTATTCCTCATAGTAGCTGTTCCATATCTCCTCCAGCTCCTAACCTCACCCCTTAAGGTTTTGAGCTGAGTATGTTCTAGTTTCAAATGTATGCTTAGGACAGATTTTCTGTAGCAACATGGTCGCATTCCCCAGGGCAGTTTCTCACATTGAGGGCCCAGAGTCTCTGAGCATTTATGGACTTAGGGAGTTTTTGAGTCCTCTATATGAATTCTGAAATGTTGCTTTCATTTGGATGGCACTCAAAATTTTATATAGACGTATTCTGGACCATTTGGATGACTGTCTTATAATTGAGCACTGCAACATGTCAGCACCTGCATTTGGGTTTGTGTTCAAATTAATGCCACTTTACATTAAAACCACTTTACATGTGGAGAGTTCTTAAGAAAAAATCAGGGTAGACTTAATTTGATCCCAAAGCACTATTTTACATTCAAAGGCCAGAAGCCCACAGAGCAGGCTGATGGAGGAAGTTTATGCAGTAGTTCCAGCAGGGAGTGTGGTGGGAGAATCCAGTCATCACACGGAACATGGAAGTAAGGGCTGGCCAAGCTCTAAAGGACCCAAGCCACTGTGACCAGCACCACACACACCCTTATTTGGGCAGCAACATGGTTTCAGCAAAACATCATCTAGCATGTTAAATAAATGTCGTAATTTGAATGCTATTGGTTGTACGGTTTGGGTTGTATTTATTTATACGTGTTCTTTGGTTTGTGTAGATTAAGGGTGATAAGTGTAAGGATTTTGCACCTGGTTTTATGTTGGTTGTTTTCTAAGTAACATGCTAATAATGATAATTTGAGGGGGATTCAAGAGAACATGTTTCTTTAAAAAAGGTCAATATATAACTCCTGGTGGACAATTACTGTGCGGAGGGAAGGGTACTAAATTGGTCATCTCGACCTCCATGTACTGATTGAAGGAAGGAAAGAAAGAAGAAGGGAAGGAAGAAAGAAGAAAAGAACTTATAAATGACTATATGAATCTTTACCCCAAGAATTCATGAGGTTTTTGGATGGTGTTGTATCACATATTTAGAAAGTACCCACATGATGTTAGCTAAGAGGACCCCGCAGGCTTATTCACTCTGCGATTTTCTAGTTAGGGACTCTTTCCTGTAGAACCCAAGGGCTATTCTTCCTATTTCTGCCATAACAAAGTAGCATACTCAACTCTGATAAATATTTACTGACTGATTTTCTTAAGTATTAATTCCATTTGTTGAAAATATTAAAGAATGTTTCTTTCTTTAAATTCCTCACTGCACTACCCCTCCAAGAATGTGGTTTATGAATACAGTATTTCTTGGGCGATACCAATATTAGTCCTCTTCGGGGCTGGGACAAACTACTTTGTAATTTTTAGTGACAATTTTTCCACTGAGCAAAGAACATTGTCTCCTCGCTGTACATAGCAGATAATTTATATCAACACTGAGGGCAATTATATGCATGTGGGAAACCCAGGTATTGGTGTGATTGGTGTTAAATGCATGGGTCTGTTCTTTCCAAGAGGTTATAAAGCACTATGTGAGGGATCATATGATACTACCAACAAGAGTGCATGCTGGAATAGCCCAGTATTCACAACTAGACAACACATTTTGTCCTTAGCAACCCATGAGAACAGAGTCACTTCTAACACTTCTAAAGTTACGGTAACAGGGCAGTTATGAACTATTATTGTCACTGCTCACTAATTCCTTTAATGGAGTTCATCAGAGGTAGAGATCATCCAAATAATAGTTCATAAGTAATTTGGAGCTGGCGCTGAAATGTGTTATGCAGTTTATCTCCCACCAATTGACCTTTCTCCTTTTTTGCTTTAAGATTATATAAAATGGAGCCCAAATTCCACAAGTTAGGATTCTAATTACAGTTTTTCACCTCCCCAATTCTTTTATCACCTCCCTCTTCCTGTACCAGCCCCATTGTCCAAGTTGTCAGTAACAGTGATGAAGTCATCGCCAGGAGAAGCTACTTTGGGTAAGTTTCCCAGAGCCCAACACTCAGTAGCCCCAGGCTCAGTAACCAGGTGACAAGGAAGCCTTTGAAGAACAGCCTTGCCTTGATTTTTTTCTCCCCTAAGAAGAAAGCTCGTATGGGTTGGTGTGGTCAGACTGCATCTAGCAGAAAAATTCTAGGAGGAAGTTGGACTTTCCTACTCAAACATAAACTTTTCACGGCCCCTCATTTCTACCACCCCACACCTCTTGACTGGCAAAACCCAGAAACTCAAACACATCCTTCCCTACCAGTCAGTGCAGTAACTTTACAAATCACTAATCTCCAAGCCTGTTTGCCAAAGTCAAACAATGCCTAGCCCCAACAAAGCCCTCCACAAACAAAGACACGCCTGGCCTGCAAGTTAGGATAAGTGGATTATTTTCTAGACACAGCTGAAAGTTTAGGCTGCCAAAACAGTCTTTCTTTCCCCTGGGGGAATTTTCTTTTCCGAGAGCCCCTCTTCCTCAGGGAAGCCACCCTGCCTCTAGGGGCCATGGAATCCCTCTAGGGAATTACATTTTGTCCAGAAACTCATAAACCATCCCTCCCCACTCCCATCACAACTGGGAAGGGACAGGCTCAGTTGGGGTGAGTTAGGATGGGAGGGAGAGAGGCCAGGGAGC